AGGGCAGCATTGTCCCCACCTGGTGCCCCCACAGCAGGTCTAGTGAGCCCTGCTCCTCCCAAGGGCAGCCGCCTTGGGAAGGCCGAGAGAAGGGGTCTGAGGAGACCAAAGGCCGAGTGCCCAGGCTCAGAAGTCGGCCTCCGTGTGCCCAGCGGCACACCCATACGCTGACAGGGCTTCGGAGCCAGCCAGGCGGGGACCCTGTGGTGGAAGTTGGCAGCCTCAGGGCTGAGACCCCAGACAGAGGCCAGCTGCAGCACAGGCCAGACACAAATCCTCGCAGGGCAGGCATGGACCTCAAATGTGCTAGGCTGGGAGGGGCATGAAGGACTGGCTGTGGCTGCACCGGTCATGGCCCTGAGTGTCTGTCCCGGGGCTGCCTGCTCCTCCCTCCTGCAGAGCCACAGCTGCCCACCTCCATCCACAATGGCCTCGTAGGTGACCTCTAGCAGCAGTCGGAGCTGGGGGTCCATCGTGTGGGCCTGCTTGGAGTGGACCCCGAAGAAAGAGGCGTCGAACTTGGACAGATCCTTCAGCTTCCCTGACCGCCGGGGCAGGCCGTAGAGCCCTGGGGGTGGAGGGAGAGTTGGTTCCTTCCTGGCCAGGCATGGGCGGATGAGGGGGGCAGTCTCATCCTGGATGCTCCAGCTCAGGGCAGACCCAGCCCCCTAACCTTGAGTAAGGAGGAGCCGGGGGAAGGGAGGACAGGGGAACTCCTCAGACATCCCCAGAGCTGGTCTAAGACCCCCGCCAGCCTGCCACTCCCGCCTGCTGCTGACTCACACCTGCAGATCAGGTAGGGCCACCTCAGCTGAGGCGGGGCCAGTCGGGCAGCTTCCTGAAAGTGGGTCTGGAGCCTTATCTGACGGTTGGGACATGTGGGCTAGGCTGGCCCCGCCAGGGGCCAGCTGCCTCCTCCAAGGCTCCGGCCTCCTCACTGGGGACCTCCCGTATCTGCCCAGCCCTCCCCGCTCCAGGCAGCAGCCCCGGGATGTCAGGGGACTCACCGGCCTTCCACCTCCGGTCGTCCTCCGTGACCATGTCCACACCGCCAATCAGGTTCTCCCAGAACTCCTGCAAGTTCTCTGACTCGGGCAGCTTCCCGGACATGCCAGCAATCACCACCTCCTCCATGACTGCGTCTGGGAGGGAGAGCGAGATCAGGCGGTGTGGAGGACCCTAAGCTCAGCGCCTGCACAGGGGCCCATGAATCACACCTATCTCAGAGTGCCAGACCCTGGAGAGCTACCTCTGCCACCCCCATGACAGGAACCTGAAGTGGGGGCTCCCCACAAGGGCAAGGGGGTGGTGAGTTCCAGGAGATGGCAGAGTTGGGGGCTGAGCAGGGGCCAGCCTTGTGCTCAGCTCCTGGGAGGCCTCTGCAGCCCACAGTTCCTGACTGGGAGGCTGATCCGCTTTGTGCGACCCCTGACACAGCTGCCCAAGCCTGTGTCCTGCTGGGCCC